AAAAAAAAAAAAAAGCAAATAGAGTACTAGATGATGCTAAGAAACTAGTGCTAATTTTTTTAGGTGTAGGAATGGTGCTGTGATTGTGAGAAAATGTCCTATTTTGTTTTTTTTTAAGACGATCTTACTATATAGCCTGGGCTGACCTTGAACTTATGATATTCCTGCCTTGGTCTACCCAGTGCTAGAATTACTAGCATGTTCCAACAGACCTGGCCTGAAAATGTCTTTATTTCTTAGAGATCCATAATGAAGTACTTAAGAGTACAATATGAGATGTGTGGAGCTGGGCACTGGTGATTAAGCCTGACTACTTGGGAGGCTGACCTTGAAACTTATGATATTCCTGCCTTGGTCTACCCAGTGCTAGAATTACTAGCATGTTCCAACAGACCTGGCCTGAAAATGTCTTTATTTCTTAGAGATCCATAATGAAGTACTTAAGAGTACAATATGAGATGTGTTGGAGCTGGGCACTGGTGACTTAAGCCTGACTACTTGGGAGGCTGAGATCCGAAGGATCACAGTTTGAGGACAGATCGGGCAAATAGTTCATGAGAACTCCATCTCCAAAATAACCACAGCAGAATGGACTGGAGGTGTGGCTTAAGTGTTAGAGCACCTGCTTTGCAAGTGTGAAGCCCTGAGTTCAAACCTCATCCCACCCCATCCTCCAAAAAACAGATGTATTAGATTTACTTCAAATTCTTCAGTCAAAAAACAGATAGGGATATACATGAAGGAAGTTTTGTAAAATGTGTGCCTTTGAGTCAGATGAGGAGTATACATTGAGGACTATTCAAAAAGTAGTCACTGTTCTTTTGTGCATGTTTAAGTTTTTTATGATAAAATTTTTAATAATAACAATGAATTTACTTTTGGAACTTAACAAAATAATCACTGGATTTATATGGAAGAATGAAATTCTTGGGACATGAAAAATTGAAAATGTAGATTATGAAGAGTAATGGATATAAGTTATAAAAATAAATCATGAAGCTATAACCATTACAACAGCAGTACTAGTACAAAGGAAAAGCAAGAACTGAAATTCTTGTCCCAAAATAGTGACATATGAGACTTGAATTCTTTGTTAAGTTCTTATTTCCAACCAGTGGCAAAAGTTTGAACTATTCACTAAATGCTAATGGGACGATTGCCTAATAGCTTAGGGGAAAAGATGTATGTCTATCTAACACATGGTACCAAATGTTCCATAATAAATTTCAAATGGATGTTTTCTAAAAAGCACAAAAGAAAAAGTAGCAACTATTCATCTGGTACAGAATTTAAAAAGGCTTTTTTAGACTTAAAATAAAGGAGAAAAAATAAATAAGATTTATTTGATTACCCTAAAATTTAGAACTTTGGTACAAAGCAAGGGGAAAAAATTTGGAATAGAGGATTAAAATAAGTATTTATCAGGCTCATCTTATTTAGCCCTCAGAACTACATTATTATCTTTATTCTATAGAAGAATAAACTGAGGTTTAGAAAAAAAAGTCATACAGCTAGAACTTTGTGCCACTAAGGTTCAAAACCAGGTCTGTATGACCACAGGATACACCTGCTAACCTCTTTACCATACACCTTCACATATGCTGAATCAATATCATCCTTCAGATATAAACAATCAATAATCAATAATAAAACTAAATCAATAATAGAAACTCTTACGGATCAATAATAAAACTAAAAACACCCCCCCCAATAAAAATGAGCAAAATAGAAAAACAGGCTATTCACAAGGAGAAAAAATACAATTGGTCATGTAAACATGAGAAGTTTCAGTGTCCCTAGTACTCAGAGGAAGGCAAATTAATATGAGACACTCTTTTCCATTAGCAAATACTTTATTTCCTCTTTTTTTTTTCTTTTATGGGACTGGGGTTTGAACTCAGGGCTTCAATGCTTGCTAAGCAGGTGCTCTACCATTTAAGCCACACCTCCAGTCCATTTTGCTCTGGCTGTTTTAGAGATGGGGGTCTCATGAACTATTTGCCCAGGCTGGCCTCAAACTGTAATCCTTCCAATTTCAGCCTCCCACATAGCTAGAATTACAGGCATGAGCCACTAGTGTGAGCTGCCTCATTTTTTAATACCATGTATTTGGTGAGTATACCCATATGGATATAGCAACAGCAATGGAATTGTGGACTGCCTTCTCTGTTCAGGACTCCAATGTGGAGTGGGCAGGTAAAAGTAGGACACAGTTCAGTGGGTGCCGCCTGGGTCTAGTGCCCTTACCCGTGATAGGGGAAGTATGTGGTGACTGGTAGCCAACCAGAATTAAGGGAGTTGGGGGACAGTGACTCACCAAGGGAAAACAAACAGAGCAGACAAGGTGGCAGGCATCTCACCACAGAGCAGGTGGAAGCTCTCATACTCCCCTTTACTTCTGAAATGTGTTGACCAGGTATATCAAAAGCCTGGCAAGATGCATCACACCCTTTGATCAACATTTCTACTTTGACAAACTTACTGTAAGAAAGCTGTCAGAGATGTAACCCCAAAGTGTTCATACTTTGTTGTCACAGTTTTATTGATGAATGTAAAAAAAAATTGAAAATCTACATATCTCATCATAGAGAACTGATCACATGTGTTTTGTCATATCAGTCTTTCAAACTACTGTGGGAAATCATGATGTTTAGAGAACATTTCACCCCACAGGAAAATGCCAGTAAAATAATCTTAACTGGAAAAGCATTACTTCAATGAACATGTATAATTTATAATCAGGAAAAATAGCCCATAAATGTTTTCCTCAAAAATAAAGTTGTCAGACTTGCCAGAATTCCAAAAGTAAAATCAGATCATAGAAGATAGGACCCCTCTTTTCCTGAGGAGTTAGAAGACAGTTTGAGGGACTCAAGTTATACAAGGAAGAACTTCCTGCCTGGCTGTTGTGGGATGGAATGGGTGACCCTTTCTCAGGGTCAGATGAATTATTTCCCTGCTTTCAACACCCAGGAATTGGGTAGGAAATAGTGGAAGTCCCAGCTTAGTCCCAGGAATTAGGTGTGTCATCTCTGGCTCAGTTTCCTTATCTTTTAAATGGGAGGCTGGGAGGAAGTCCTTGATCTCCCCAGTGCTGACAGAATACTGTGCTCTATGGAGTTTTATTCTGGGTCCCATGGAATACCAAGCTGAAGTCACCTGTCTTCCACCAAATGCAGGAGTCAATATCACAGGTGTGAAACCTAGGGTGAGGTCCCTGGGCAAGATGACACTTTTGCTCAGGATCCCCTGGTGCTGTGACCAATGAATTTAGCCAAACTGAAGCCATGCTCCACCCAGCTTCAACAGTCAAGCCAGTTGGGGCAGAGGATGCCTGTGGAAGTGATTTCTCCAAAAGTGGATGGTCTCTTCTCTGTCCAGGAGAGCCCAAAAGAAGAGGCAGGGCTGGCCTCACTCACCATGCTTCTCTGGCAGGATGCTTTGACCCCAGCCCTAATGCCGCTCCCTTCCTAGGCATCCAGAACCCTGCAAAACTCTCCTTGCTGTTTGAGGCTGACTTCTATCCTCTGCCTACGATATTGCTGGAGCTTTAAGATTTAGAGATCCAGGAAAGGGAATATCTGACTCACCCTGTACTCTGTTGATCAACCCAAACTTAGAAACTGCAAAAGTAAAAAGGACTTCATTGGAGGTCTTGGGAACTGCAATCCACGAGACACAGGTTCAGGGAGCTCTGAATCACTGTTCTGAAGAGGGCAAAGAAAGTGGGGGCTTAAATGAGCAAGAGGTACTGATTTATCACAAAGTAGTAAAAATCCCATTGTAGGAAACTTCTATTGAATATTGAGAAAGAATATGGGCTACATAATCAAAGAAATAAATTTTAAAATTGTATATTTGGTAAAAATGTCCATAAAACAAGTCTATTAACCTCTTGCTATGATACATCTTTGGTCTCTAGGCACAGTTGTAATAACCGCGTCATTCTAAGTGTTCCAGACACCTTCAGTGGAAGGATGGAGGTGACCAAAGCTCCCATTCCCAGGCAACAGCTTGAGAGGTGCATTAGTCCAGCTGTCTTAATGACCTCCCAACTCCACAGTTGAAAAGTTATCTCAGGCCAGGCATTTAGCTCAGTAGTAGAGCACTTGCCTAGCATGAGTGAGGCCCAAGGCTCAATCCCTAGCACCACAAACACAAGACAAAACAGATGAGAAAAACTGAGGCCCAAGAATAAGACTTGCCCAATATCACAGTTCAAGTCACTGATACAGGCAGAACTGGATCCAAATCTCCAACAGGCAGGACCTGTGCCACCCTGTCTTCAGTTATTGCACAAGCACCCCTAGCCCAGAGGCTCTTGGGCAGGGGGTGGAGCCAAGATGAGAGAAACACCACCCACTCCCTGTTCCTCCTCCCCTAACTCAGCTGCTCTGACCTCCTCAGGGCCCCAAGTGTTAATTTAAGGGTTAATCTGGGCCCAGACCTTAGGTAGCAGAAAGAAACATGAGGATCCAGAGCTTCCTCCTCCTGGTGGTTCTCCTGGCTTTGGGGAACCGGTTGCCCAGTGCCTCAGGCAGGAAGAAGGGAGGTGAGTGACATAGATCCCTCTGCTCCAGGGACCCGGTGGTTTCTGCTTCTCTGGAAGAGTAAAGGTTTGAAGGAGGGCCAGTAATTCACATTGTGAGTGTGTGTGTGAGTGTGTGTATGTTTGCTGCTTAGTTCTTCAGAAAACTACATTTTTATTTGTGTAGCTTTGTGCTTGTTCCCATACTTGTGTCTTTATCTGGTCTCTTCTTTTTTTTTGCTGGTACTGGGATTTGAACTCAGGGCCTTGTGCCATACCCCAGTCCTGTTTCTGTCAGTTTCTCAGGCCTTATCTGTGCCTAACTTCACATCTGAGCATGTTTAGGGGCACCACATGCCTGTCTCTGTATACATAGGTGTCTTTGTGCTTGATTGCATGAAGCTCTGTCACATGGAACAGCTGTGTCCACACGTGTCACTGTGCCTCTTGGGATGAGGGAAGCAACCTGTCTGCGTCCACCATTCTATGGTCAAGTGACTCTCACCAGGGAAGTGACTCTCTTCTCTGACCCTTTCTGGTCCGCAGCCACATCTGTGGAAGGGACTTGGGAGTTGAGTAGGAAGTGGGGCTGTTGCGATCTGGGGTCTGCTGGCGATATTTCTGACCCTGGTTCTCTTCTCCATTCCCCAGCTTCTGTCTCCATTCCTACACCTGACTAGGCCCAGGCTGGCTGGCTGACAATGAGGGAGTGTGGGTGCTCAAGGAGCCAGACAGGTGCCTCCCAGTGTCTGTAAGGACACTTCTCCACCCCTCTATGGGGCTGGAACACTCTGACCTGCATTTACCTGAGCAGCCCTGGCCCTGCCTTTGTGGAAGGAGACAATAACGGGCTATGTGCCTCTTCTCCACAATGCCCTCCTCTGCTCCTTTAAGCCTAGACTATGCCTTCCTCAGAGACACAGGTCTCTGCCTGGAGGGTAAGCTGGCTTGGGGAGTAGGACACTCACAGCCCTCAGGCCAATGAAGGACGGATACCAGAAAGTTCCAAAACCAGAGCTTGTGTTGCCATCACCACTCAACATCTCTCTGCAATGTGATGAGTCAGCACTATTTTATCTCCATCTTACAGATGAGAAAACCACTTGCCCAAGGCCAAAGGCTGACTCAGTTGGTATCAAAGGTTGCAATCAGAAAGACTCATCCTGCCAACTTATTCTCTGTGAAAGGAGGTCTGTGCCACCATCTCAGGAGTAAATACCTTGAGGAGTAAGTGCCAGGTATACAGTAAGTTCAGTACTAGTAGCTGACTCAGTGTAGCAACTGGGAGCAACAGACAGCATGCCCTGATACCATTCTCTGCTGCTCAGAGTGAGATGTGCTGCCCACAGAGCTTGGGCCTGCTCAGGACCTCTCTGCATGACCGGTGAGACTCCTCCAATCTATTGCGTCCCATCCTTCCCTGATCTCTCTCCCAGGTGATGGCTGCCTGGCTCTTGGCAGGGAGTGGAAGGTGACAGGGTTGAGGGAAGAGAAGTGTCAGTTGGTTATCTGTGGAAGCCCAGCTAGCTCTGTTCAGAAGACCTCCCGCCCCTCACTCAAATCTTGGATGTCTCTGATACAAAGAGCTTAGTAAACAGAGAGTGCCTAATTACATGTTTCAACAATTGTATGGTATGGGAAATATATCTGTGTCTGTGTAGCTCCGTGTGTGACTATTGATGCATATGTTACTGTCTACACACATATACTATACATTCATATACATGACTGCATATGTATGTCTGAGTGTAAGTATATATATATATGCCTATGTTTGTAGGAATGGGTATATGATGATGTGTTTGTATATTTGACTGTGTATGTCCCAGTTTAAATGTGTGTGTGTGTGTGTATAGAGAGAGAGAGTGACTTCCTGTATATATTTATATATGGGTGTATACATACATATATAAAATGCTATCTTACATATGCCTGAATATATATATGTGTATGTGTGTGCATGCACTCATATGCATTAGACTAAACCGCATAAACTGCCGTTTTTATAGATCAAAAATCTTGGTGGGCACGATCTAAGTGTGCTTGTGTATTTGACCTAGTCTGTGTGTCTCCATCTGCATAGATGACTGTGTCTATTTAACCATGTCCAGGTATGGTTACTCACTTTCTGAGTCTGCTCACCCATGGCATATCTGTCTGGATGACTATCTGTGTATGTCCCTGTGTCACTCACAGAGCATCCTTCAGTAAATTGAGAACCTGGATACAGAGGGAAGATTAGAAAGGCAGATGAACAGAGCTAGTGGGACTACCCAGACCCCTTCACACCTTTCTGCTCACTGCCAGCTTTTATGTCCACCTCCACACTGTACGTGTGGCAGTTTTCCTGACTTGAAATGCCAACTTTCAGCCCCTCTCCCTTTCCGTCTATTCCTGAGGGGCCTGCTCCAGGACCCTCCCCCAGAAGCTCTCCCTGCCTCTATCCCTGCATCTGACCCACCCTGCACCCACTCATAGGCAGCTCCCACTGCTTTGCTTTGAGTTCATGCAGCTCTGTTTGATCCACTGTTTGAGACCTGAGCATCTCTGGCCTGTGCTTGTGAGTTCATGACTAAACCCTGCACCACAATCTCCCAGGAACCCCACAACCTGGACTAAGAGAGACTCATCAGTGTAGGGGCTGTCTCTCAGGCTAAGCCACACTTTTCCAGCAGGGGGCAGCAATTCAACTTAAACTAACCCAGTCTAAGGACTAAAGCCGACATTGAGCACTCACTGTGTGAGCAAGGGACCACCTACTACGTGGGCAGTCAGCACTCAGGCAGGGGCAGAGGGAGAAGGGTGATACGGAGGTGGTGTCACAGTCCTGGATCCAGCTGCGGCAGGAAGCTCCTGAACCTCTTCTCTGATGCTAGATTGAACTGACAGCATGGGACCATGCTGCAACTCAAAAGCAACCAGAGAAGATCATCAGAAGTTAGAGAGAGCCAGGCTCTGGAAGTCCTTGCCCAGGCCTGTGTAGAGCTTGGCCAGTCACTGCCCCTTTCAGGTCTTGATTTCTTCCTCCAAATGGAGGAAAATACTGGTTTCCAGGCTCATGTGTAAAATCTGAAAATAGCCCAATATCCCAACAAAAAAGAGTGGTTAGGTATACTCCAGAACAGAACATTCTATAGTTGTTTGGAGGAATACTTCAAAGACAGAGCTAATACCTATATCTGAAGCCATGCCACTTCCAACAGTGACAAGGGCAACAATGCAGATGTGGCCAATTGTGGCTATGTGACAGTCTATCAGGCCAGCAGCGGCTGACACATGCAACACTGAGTCTCCCTTCAAAACCCTTTCTTTCAAATAGTCACTGAGCCACTAGCACTGTGCACCCAGTGCTGTGCTAGAATTCCTGGTGAGCAGAGCCTGGAGGTGTGTAGGGGGATTAGTGAAAATCTCAGCCTCTGGTCAACAGGAGGCACAGACAGCTATAGTCACATACTCTGAAGGGAAGATACTTTGGGAGTGCCCAGGGTGAGGCAGGGCTGACCTAGTTAGTGGGGTCAGGGAAACAGGGTCTCCAGAAGAGGTAATATTTCAGCTGAGACTACTGAGCTGACCAGGTAAACAGGGTGTAGGAGACAGAACCAGGGAAAGGGTGCAGAGGGAGCTGGCTCAGAGCAGATCAAGAGCCAGTGAGTGGCAGATCAAGAGTGGTACAGTATGACACTGGGCAGCAGTGGCTCATGCTTGTAATCCCAGCTACTCAGGAGGCAGAGATCAGGGGGCTCGTGAATAGAAGCCAGGCAGAGCAAATAGCTGCAAGACCTGATCTCAAAAAAAAAAAAAAAAAAAAAAAAGCAAAAAAACCCAACACAAATAAGGGCTGATGGAGTGGCTCAAGTGGTAGCATCTGCCTAGCAAACATGAGGCCCTGAGTTCAAACCCTGGTAATGCCAGAACAAAAAGATGTGGTGCAGTATGAGACTAGGGAGATGGCAGGAACCAGACCAAGCATGTCCCAATTTACCACAGTGGAGAGTTTGAACTTCATTTTCATTTTTTCCCGTCTATTATGCCATCTAAATCTTAAACCAGCTAAAAAACGAAACAAACAAAAAACAAAAGCAAAACTTCCCAGAGGATCTGTCTCTGGCTGCAGGATGTAGAGGTTCTTTTTACAGAAAAATCAGGGGGCTGCCCACCAGACGATGGGCCCTGTGTCCTGTCAGTGCCTGATCAGTGCATGAATGACCGCCAGTGTCCCTCAACCTTCAAATGCTGCTACCGAGCTTGCTTCCGCCAATGTGTCCCCAGGGTCTCAGGTAAATTCCCTCTCCACCCTGCTGACCAGCCAAGCCCCGAGCCCCAGGGCTGACGGGCATAGGCAGGGCTCACCTGGGCCTTTACTGTGTTGCAGTAAAGCGGGGCAGCTGCCCCGAGGACCGACTGCGCTGCCTCAGCCCCACCAAGCACACATGCAACCAAGATTTGGACTGCTCAGGCTTGAAGCGATGCTGCCCCAGCGCCTGCGGCCGGGATTGCAGAGACCCCACCAGAGGTACCACTTCCTAGGGGCTGGCTGGTGTCTTCCCTCTCCCACTCCCAGCTCCGAGATTTCTTTCCAACTCAACAAGATCAGCAAGATGCTTTCCCAGAAGCCACTGCGTCCCATGGCCAAAGCTAAGGAAGTCTACTAGGGGTGCACAGGGTCCTGTTAAGATGGAGGAGGAACTGGGGGCCCTTGCTTCTCTTACCGAGCATGCTGCATTACCTGGACCAAATTCCTGAACATCTCTGGGCTTCAGTTTGCCCTTTTGAAGCAGGCTGGGGAGTCCTGCCTTAGTAGCCACCACAACTGGGCTGATGGGGCCTAGATGGTGGGTTAACCCTTTCTTTCTCTCTCCTCAGGCTAATTCTGGTTTAGGATCTACAGCTTCACATCTCAGATGGGGCTCCCAGCAGAAAGAGATGATGGTGGGGCCAGGGACCCTGCCACCCAGACAGACCATCTCTGCCAGGAGCAATACCAACCTTCTGATAAACATTGACCTGCTGTCACTTCCCAGCAACCCATGCCCCCTGGGTTCTCTTCCTGGGGGTCAAGGTCCATAATCTGAGCTCAGTGGTCCTCCTCTTTATCAGCCCAGCACCCTGTACCACTGTACCACTGAGCTTCCTGTTCTGTGTCATACCCATTTTCACAACTAAATGCCCAACTCAGGCAGGCCCCTTTGTGGAGTCCAGACCCCACACTCAGGCAACCCTACCCCCAAAATGTATGTCCAGCAGGATTTTCCAAACATCAGTTCATTCACACACCCTTTCACAACTTTCAACCGTACCTACAAAAGACCACTGTGATGTGTCACATGCCACCCGAACCACTATTTATCTAATATCTCCCTTTAAATGACTCACTTTTGTATATAAATTCGCTTCAAAACTTGACATTATTACTATAAATGAGATCACAGGCCAAAGTAGGATATAATTGTGCAAATAAATGCAATGCGAGCGGCTCAGTTCCATTCAATTAATTCATGTCCGATTAAGGAACGTTATTAAATTCCAGCTACATGTGGCCACCTGCCAAGACACAGCCTGAAGCCTGCTGTCTCTGTGTTAATAGAGGGGTATTACTAAGGGTGAAAGATGGCAAAGGTGCAGTGCTCTAAACTGAGACCGATGGCTGGTGCAATCAGGATTGAAAAGAGAATGAGTGTCTTACTCCAAGAGCCAATGTTGTATCAAACTGCACCCAAGCGCTAAGATCACTTCAGATTGCCCTACCTTTGGAGAAACGCTGCTCAAGCGGTTGGGATGTTGCATTTAGAGTGGGACTGTCTCCATTCTTGGCTACACCTCACTTACCTCAATTTCCCCAGTCTATAGGGCCCAGTCTGTAGCCAGGGTCTAATGAGGGTTTCTTCGAGGGGAGAAGGGTCCATTCCTTACACCCAGTCAGCCGGATTCCTGACTCTCCCTCCTCCCCAGGGTTTGTTTGGGAAGGGGAAGGAGGCAGCACACCTCCTCTGCTTTCTCTGTGGGGCCTCCTCAGTGTCTACTTCCACATCCGAACAATGGGGAAGTTCTAGACAGCTGTAACCCAAGCCTAGTGGTGTATAGTTTATTGGCTTGAGTTTCTTTCAAAAGGCACCAGGAGGAAAATTCAGAAGCTCCCAGGTGAACAACTGTCACTTGGTTGCTAAGGGCCCCAGTGGCTGTCCTGAGGCCCTAAGTTCTGCACTAGCTTTCAGAAGTGGCAGGTTCCAGACTGTGGCTTCTTTGGCCTCAGGTGTAGCTTCTGTACAATCCACTTGCTCCTGGCTAACTTGCTATCTGCTCTGTCAGGTCTGTGTCTTGTCTATGCAGTGCCAGCTCTGTCCTCTGCTACCAAACTCCAGCCCATTCTGCTTCAAACCCACTGCTTATCTCCACTGCCCTCCTGGGATGTCTCCTGGGAAGCTGGACACCTGGTTCCTTCGGTAGACTGCAACCTTGCTTTCTTCCTTACTCTTTCAATAAATGTTCATGGAGCATTTACCACCGACTCCAGGCTATGCCTCACAGAGCTCTTGTTCCAGTGGATGAGAAAAAGCCTTACCTAGGGAGAAACCTAGGTGGCTATGGGAGGTCAGGAGAAGCTATTGTTTTTCTCTCTACTGAGACTAGTCAGCCTTTCACCCATCATCCACATCCCTTTTTTCCCTCCTGGAACAGGGCTGCTACATTCACAGACCAAAGGACTATCTGTGTTGGGCTACCCAAAACAAATCTTTGAGATGAAGACTCGTATGATGGAAATGTTTCAGGAAAGATGGAACCAGAATGGACAAATGCACCCAGAAAGAGTGGCAGCAAATGCCCTCAGGAGAGTTCTAGAGACAAGTGTAGTTGGCACACAGATCCCTGGACACTTGGGGCTGTCCCTGGGGGTAGCCACAGCACATTCTGGCAGCCTCAGGGAAGCCCTTTAACAAAAAGACACAGAAACTAGCTGTCAGGAGAGAAAACACACCAGAAGCCAGTGTACAAGTGGTAAAGGATTTCCCAAAGAGCTATGAGCAGAATACTGGTGTCCTCCATGAATGGATGAAAGCCACACTAGAGGTGGAGGAGGAAGTAACAGGGAGCCTGGCTCTTCAATGCTATTATGAGCAACTGCACCTGCTCTGTCCTACAGAAAAAAAAACAGACTGCAACTAAATTAAATCCTAACTGACACTCTGAGTGAAGAAAGGGCAGGACGACTTGTTCATAGGAGGAATGCATTGCTAATCCTCCCCACGATCCTGAAAGGGAGGTATTGCTCCCATTTTGCAGACAAGGAAGATAAATATCCAAGAGGAGACTCCTGGGCCAAGGTCACACAGGAATTCAGTGGCAAGGGCAGGATTCAAATTCTTTGTATCCATTACTTATTCATGGGGCTGGCAGAGTGGCTCAAACGGCTCAAATGGCAGAGCACCTGCCTAGCAAGTGAGAAGCCCTGAGTTCAAACCTCAGTACCACCAAAAAAAAAAAATCTAAATTGAAAAGTCACTTTCCCTAAAAAATTTGAAGGCATTACCTATTGCTGTGTAACAAGTTACCAAAACCGCAGTTATTTATCTCAGCGTTCCCATAGGTTGAGATCCCCCAGTGCAGCTTAACTGAGTCTTCTGCTTCAGGATCTCTGCTTCACAGGACTGCAAAGTACTGGCCAAGGATAGGAATCTCATCTGAGCCTGACTGGAGAAGGATCCACTTTCAAGTTCACCAGGTTGTTGGCAGGATTTCAGTTCCTTGAGGACTAATGGAATAAATACCACAGCTCCCAGCTGGCTGTTAGCCAGAAGTCATCCTCTTTTCCTTGCCCTTCCAGTATGGCAACACACTTCCTCAAAGTCAACAGGAGTCACAACCTTCTGTAACCTAATCACAGAAGTGATGTCATCATCTTTGCCACATTCTGTTCACTAGAAGCAAATCAATAAAGACAGACAGACAGATGAACACACACACGGAAATACACTGGGGCATGAGCACCAGGAAGCAGATATCATGGGGAGACGTTTTAGAAGCTGCCTGCCACTCCCAAGTCTACCTTATTCCAAATTTTTCCATGTTGCCTGCCCCATCAAGCTTCCTATTAGGTAAAACCTCTTAGGCTCAGACCTCCATCCTTGTCCAGGGTCTGAAGGAGAACTTAAGGAACAACCCAGGCATGGACTATAGAGGGAATGGATATCCTTTAGCCCCAGTGACCCCATACAGCCCCTCTTCCCACTTCTGTCACTCACAAATTCATTCAAAACTCCATTTACCTCCCACACCATGATTGCAGATGAAACCAGATCCTGGTTCCATTTTCTCTGCCCTTGGAAAATGGGTCAGTCTTTTCTCCTTTTGGAAACCACTTCTCCATCTCCAAGAAGAAGCCCTGAATTTTAACGGTATTGGGTCAAGAAATGGAAAACCTGCTTCTCTGCAGATCTGCCTCGGTTTCCCTGTTGGTAAATGAGAGAACTTGGCAAGATGATCACTAAATGGCTTCCTGCTCTAACTTGTGATGTTGAGCCCAGAGGTGTGCTGTTTGATGCAGTAGCCACTGGCCACAAGTAACTATGAGGTACATGAAATGTGAGCGGTCTAAATTGAGATTTGCTGTAGGTGGCTGTGTTAAGCGGAATTCTAAAATGATCCCAAATGACCCTCACCCTTATATCATGTCCTCCTCTTAAAATGTAGATAGAACCCATGAAGGGCACAAGACAGATCATGCTGGTGGGCCTGACTCAATCAGGCCTGTAAAGTCAGAGAATTTCTCTACCTGGTTACAAAAAAGGAAGTGGACACTCTGGCTTGCTTGAAAGAAAGCAAGCATCCATGTTGTGGACTAGCTATGGAGCCATGTGACAAGGAAGTACAGGCAGCCTCTAGGATGTGAGACTGAGGGCCAGCAGACAGGTAGTAGCAAAAGGGGGACTTCAGTCCTACACCAAAAAGAAATGAATTCTGCCAACAATGTGTAAACTTGGAAGAGAACTCCAATCCCAGATTTCTCGGTCTGGTGAGACCATGAGTACAGAATTCAGCCATGGCATCCCCAGTTCTGACTTAGATAAATGATGAGATGATAAACTCATACTGTTTGAAGCTGCTGAAGTTGTAGTCATTTGTCATGCAGCAATAAAAACCAATTACACTGGATTTTGAAGACTTAGTGCAAGAATGAGTATGTAAGATTCTCATTAATAAACTATTGATTTCATGTTGAAATCATAATATTTTGGACATATAAGATTAAATTAAATATATTATTAAAAATAATCTCACCTGCTTCTTTTTACTTCTTAAATGTTGCTATCAGAAATTTTAAATTACTGAGGGCAATAACAGAAGGAGGAGGGTAAAAGAAGGAAGTTAAGAAGGTGAATGGGGTTGATGTACTTTCTGTACAAGAATGAATGTAAATATTTAAACCTATCATAATCACCATAAGAAGGGGATTAAGGTGGGAAGGAAAAATGGAGGTGATGAACCAATTTGGCATGTAATACATATATACATGGAAATGTCACAAGGAAACTCCCTTAAACAAACAAAAGTGTCTTTTTTTCAAAAACTGGAGGACAGGAGAGAAAACACACCAGGAGCCAGTGTACAAGTGGTAAAGGATTTCCCAAAGAGCTATGAACAGAACACTGGTGTCCTCCATGAGCGGGTAAAAGCCACATTAGAGAGGTGGAGGAGGAAGTAACAGGGAGCCAGCCTGGCTCTTCAATGCTATTATGAGCAACTGCACCTGCTCTGTCCTACAGAAAAAAAAAACAGACTGCAGCTAAATTAAATCCTAACTGATACTCTGAGTAAAGAAAGGGCAGGAAGACTTGTTCATAGGATGATGTAAGGAAAGGGTGAAAGAGGGTGAATATGGTGGAAATAATTATGTACTCATGTATGAGAATGGAAAAATGAGACCTGTTGAAACTATTCTAGGAAGGAGGAGAGGGTGAATGAGGGAGAATGATGGAGGGGGTGAATTTAACTAAGAGATATTGTAAGCACCTTTGTAAATGTCACAGTGTACCCCCAGTAGAATAATATGACAATAAAAATAAAATAAAAACTTTAAAAATAAAAGTAAAACTTCTAAATGGAAAAAAAAGAAAAGAAATTTTAAATATCAAGCTACTTGGGAGGCAGAGACAAGAAAATCTCCATCTGAGGTTGGCCTAGGCAAAAAGCTGGAGACCTTATCTGAAAAATAACTAAAGCAAAAAGGGCTGGGGGTGTGGCTCGAGTGGTGGAGCACTTGCCTGACAAACATAGGCCCTGAGTTCAAACCTTAGTACTATCGGAAAAAAAGAATAAAGAAATTTTAAATTATATAGGTGGCTCACATTGTATCTGTGGGACAGCCCTGGCAAGGGGGAGGGGGCAGTCAATCATCTGACCTTGGGCAAATCACCCTGCTGCTCCAACCTTACATTCCCTATCTGTCAAGCAGCAATATAATAGCACTGACCTCACAGATACCAAGGTAAGTGCTCAATGGTGGTAATTATGGTTGTTATCAAGAACAATGTTTGTGTGCTGGGGGGTGTGGCTCAAACGGTAGAGCACCTACCTAGCAAGAGCACGGCCCTGAGCTCAAAACCCAGGACGGTAAAAAAAAAAAGAACTAGTTGTGTATTTGTAAAGCCTCCTATCAATCCAGGTCCTAGTCTTCAGTCCCCTCTCCTGAAACTGGCCCCCAGCAGCCTGAGGATCACACGTCTAGGATGCTCTTTGGCACAGCCCTCCTTTGTGCCCACAGCCCTATGGACCACGAGGCAGCAGGTGAGGACTCTGAGCCTCCTGGGCTGAATGATGGATGTCAGGCTTCACAACCCACCTGGGAGGAGCAGGATGTGGGTCTGCTCATGTGCAGCCTTGGGGCCCACAGGGTTATGAGGCCTTCTTCCCCAGCTCTCTGTCACAGCTGTCCACAGCCTGAGCATGTGTCTGGGCCTCCCCCTGGAAAATGCAGAACACAACAGCCTGTCCCTGACAAGTGTGTGTGAGGAAAAGGCTGAGCTAAGTTGGCTGAAACAGTGCCTGGCACAAATTA